TTTCTTTTGAGAGGAAACGCAGCTTCGCAGACCGTGAACAATGCCTTAGGCATTGTTCACTGTTGACGAAACGGCGGCTTGGGCGAAAAGTAAAAAATACGGATTGATCGGAGAATCGCCAACCCCTCGTTTTGCCGCCCTGCCGCGGTTGGGCGAAAAGCAATAGATGCGTACGCTGGCGAAAAAACGCCAGAGCGGTCGAGCTAGCGTTTCGCGAAGGCGAAAAACGCCGCGGTTCGGCGAAACGCCCGTCGATTCGTATCAAAACCCTTTCGCCCAACCGCCAGACTCTTCGCCCAACCGCCAGTTGATGTGTATGGCTGCGTTTATACTTTGCGGCAGCGTAGCGTAGCGCTTCCAGCGTTTCACTAGCGTTTCGCTAGCGTTTGCCAGCGGCGGGCTAGAGAGTATAGAAGAGTAGGAGAGTACAAAATACTCGGCGCGCTAGAGAGTATAGAAGAGTAGGAGAGTACAAAATACTCGGCGGCGCTAGAGAGTATAGAGTAGGAGAGTACAGAATACTCTCCTACTATCCCATAGTCTCTACTCCCTGCCGCTGCAAGCGCTAGCGAAACGCTAGTGAAACGCTCGTGAAACGCTGGGAGCGCTAGATCGATAGCTATGCATCCCGTGCCCTCGCTACGCTAGCGTACGCTGGTGACGCTGGGAACGCTAGATCGATATCTATCCTTTCCCCGACACTGCCGCTGGCGTACGCTGGAAGCGCTACGCTACGCTGCCGCAAAGTATAAACGCAGCCTATCGAAAGCTTTTCGCAGAATCGAATTTCTCTCTAGAAAAGCGCTGGGTAGCATACTGTGAACGATGCCTAGGCGCACTTTCTGGGCCGCATTCATAAATAACAACTTCGAGGAAATGACGAAACTGCGGATAGGAGGAACCATATTAGGTTTGGAAAATCGCAGAATTCGGACAAATGCCGGAATAACGGACAATGACTCAATATGGATTGATCGCTCATCCCCGGCTAATGCCGTTTGGACTCCAGAAATTTCGGCTCCGAGCTCATTTTAGAACTGGCAAGATCACCAAGTCCGCTTAAAACTTGTATATAGAGGGTAATACAACATCCTGATCAAAGAATGGACATTCATTTTTGCGCGCTGGCGCTAATGGATGACTACGGTTACCTGCGCTCTGCTAAGGCTGAGCCCAGGAGGTAATCGTAGTGTCCTCTCTTGGCGCCAGCGCCAAGAATGAGTGTCATACTCGTAATCAGGATGTTGAATTACCCCTATATACAAGTTTTTAGTGGATTTGGTGACTTAGGCAATTTGAAAATGAGCTCGGAGCCGAAATTTCTGGAGTCCCTTATCCCCGCCACCGGGAGAGATGCCGATTCTGCGGAACATCGGTATTTCTACAGTTTCTGCATTTCCCCGACTTCCACGATTTTTCAAACCGGTACATATTCTTTCTCCTATCCGCAGTGTCATGACTTCAAGCTCGTCATGTACAAACTCAGCCTTGCATGGATGGCATAGGTTTATATACAAAATTCGAAGGCGACGATCATGTAATGGCCGCGGATTTGATCGCGCTGCGTATGTGTCGCGGCGTGACGCTTCTCTATTTACGTACAGTCCAAATTTTTTTAATGATTGTATTGCACTTTGTCTTCTTTCCTACAGAAAACTCTTTATCGTTGTCGACTCAATCGACTTCAGAATTGTAAGCGTGCGCATATTTCTATTAACTTTGTGTACATATTTAACACTCACAATCAGTGACTTGACTATGCTGTGGGATTTTTGAAGCGTTGTGTTTTGCAGAAGATGTTCTTCGTGACACTTCTCTGTATTCTGTGGAACGCGGTTTTTGGCGACAGAGGGCTTCTTCGATGTCCAAAAGACTTCCTTTGCCACAACGACGGTGTTTGTGATGTGAGTGGAGGCTGCGTTTGTAAACCCGGGTGGTCAGGTACTAGTCTGCTTATAATCATTCCGTCCCTAGATGAAGTTCTGGATACTGCTATTCGTAACATTTTGATTGATATTCTCGAATTCCTACTGTAATGCAGATAGATAAAACATTCGAGTGCACTGGTGCGTAGTAACCGTATGTGCCCTCATAGTAACGTTCCGTCAATTTTTCTTTTTCTTCTTTCGGTAGCGACAAGACTGTATCACAACGTTCGTGTCACTCGTTTTCCACCATTTGCTGTCAGTTGCCCTCATCAGCAACCGGCGGAAAACTGGCTGACAGCTCGCCAGGAGCAGCCTCGCTGACACTCCCCATCCTCCCATCGTGCAACTCTGTTCGTCCTTTCACGCCTATTGAATTTTAACGAAGCAAGAGTTATGAAAACTGGGAAATTCCGTTTTAGAAGTAGCCGCAGAACCCACGCCAAATGCTGCCGCGCTGACACGTCCCATCTTCCGCAGCGAACAAGACTACAGAATCACTATCGCGGGAATCTTCAATACACACTCCTCGTTAGAAAATGTTGACTTGTGCAACTCAAATGTTTTTGAGTATGGTATCTAATTCAACAGTGAAAAAAAAACTGGGAAAAAATCTGATTTGCCCTGTGTAGAACCCTATTCTGAACTGAGCCATTGCGGAAGGCAAAGAACGTGGTCGGTCGAGTTCTAACTTACTGGTGTCACCCCTTTCTCTTATCACCTCAACGAAATGGAGAAATCTAGTATTAGGATAACCGCACCACCAGGAAGCCTGAGAAAAGAGAAAGTTGGGTTTCGCGTTGGGAAATGGGCGGAGCGTTGTCTTCCTCTCGTGTTTTTGAGCTCCGAAAGTGGTGCACTCCCTATGCTCACGACCGGACTACCTTGTCCAAGGAGGGCGCTTGTCCATCAGATAAACGCGGAACGTGCCTTTGACGCAATCATTACTATTCTTACTTCTAGTATACTTATTTCTTACGTGTACAAATACCCCACATTTAGAGTGTGACTATCACTTGCATGAACCAAACCTAATGGCCTTTAATGGTCGTGAATTCTGAATTTTTCATGAACTTTTGAGACACATCCCATTTATTTTTGAATTACGATTTATCTGCTCACTCCGATGCATCTATTATCATGGGGCTAATGCCGTTTGGACTCCAGAAATTTCGGCACCGAGCTCATTTTTAAATTGCCTAAGTCACCAAATCCGCTAAAAACTTGTATATAGGGGTAGTTTAACATCCTGATTACGAATATGACATTCACTCTTGTCGCTGGCGCCAAGAGAGGACACTACGATTACCTCCTGGGCTCAGCCTTAGCAGAGCGCAGATAATCGTAGTGTCATCCATTAGCGCCAGCGGCAAGAGTGAATGTCATATTCGTAATCAGGATGTTAAACTACCTAATACAAGTTTTTAGCGGATTTGGTGACTTAGGCAATTTAAAAATGAGCTCGGTGCCGAAATTTCTGGAGTCCAAACGGCATTAGCCTTATCTTCGTACCCGGTGTGCTCTACGTAAAGACGCAGACATAATGGAAGCCGAAGCTCGGTCGCAACTTGCCATTGGTGGCACTAGTTCGCTTTTATACTCTGAGGCTTTAGGAGAATCGGAGAGTGTGTGCAAAAGGAAGTGTAGGTATCGATCAAGTGTTTTACGAAAACAGAAAAATCGTCGTTGTTTAGTGAGTGGGAGAGTACAGACTGCTAGCATGCGTCTCGCTAAATAGGGACATTTCTAACGGCACCCTTCTTAAGACGACGCTATGAAATGGCGCCTAATCTAGTAGTACGCTCTTCTCCTATTAGTATTCTCACAGAACGCGGGATCAAAACCTAGACATTCCTTTTCGTTGAAAATACCGGTTCTCCCAAGTCGCAAAGTATGAACGCAACCTGACTGGAGTGTTGTCGCGCTACACGGGGATTGAGCTATTCGAGAATTGTGCGACGTCGCGGGAATGAATCGCTCGCGTCGTGAAGTATAAACGTTACCCAGAAGCTATGATCTAGTTGCGCGCGCTAGCTAGCCGCGTGGAGGACAGTCGCAAGTGTCAAGGAATTCGTAGCATTAATCCGATCTGTTGTGTAGGTTTGGGAATGTGTCCAATGAATGTACTGCACACTAATTCACGCTCTCTAGAAGACTAAAGTATTCTGTTCAACAGGTGATATGTGCGAAATTGAGTCCGTTCCGTGCCCTGACCGACCATGTGAGCACGGAATTTGCTTCTCAGATCAAGAAGGACGGCACTCGTGCAAGTGTGATCACCGATTCGAGGTTAATTGTGCTGTCATTTGGCCTGGTTTGATTATGCACTGTACTTGTTAGTTGTTCATGTGAAAAGATAGTTCCCGGCTGACTGGATTTTGCGAACATACAGAGGCTTATACTCATCACTCTGAAGTCTCACCCAATTCATTTCCTTTCAGGGACAATACTGTGAGCTTGATAAAGACGAGTGTGCGCTAAAGGTATGCCCAGCGGATGCAACATGTGTGAATCTCACTCCACAACATAACGATGACAAGTAAGATGGTGAACTTCGAGGGGGAGGGGGAAAGGGGCAATTTTTATCAACCCGTATCTTGTTTTTTTCAATATATGTAATGTTGCAGAGGTTATTCGTGCATTTGCCCAGAAGGCTACACTGGCGAATTCTGCGAGCTTGAAGTTGACCTGTGTGAGCTACACATAAAACAAGTTTGTCTTATGACCTACCCTTATAATAAATATGTACTAAGTGGTCATCACTATTATAATGATATTTGCAGGGTGGAAATTATTGCTATAATGGCGGCGTATGTGAGGCGCGGTACGTTTGTATGTGTCAGGACGGTTAGTACATTTAATTATCGCCTTCCCTCTCTTTCCCTTGGCCAAACCAGTTTCTTTCCTCATTTGTTGTGGATTTCAGGATTTGGCGGACCTCGCTGCGCTCATCGCGTACCACGTTTGGAAGAGTACGAGGAATTTGGTACGTTAATCATCTCTAATATTGCTCAATTGCTGTACGCATCCATCTTAAAATCGCAACATTTTCTTTCCCTCTTCAAAATACAGGTTGTCCTGAACGGGCAGAAGTATGTGCAAAACTTTTTGATGACGGGAAATGTGACGAAATTTGCAATCGTGAGTCGTGTCTATTCGATGGGTTCGATTGCAACAAGCGAGAAGGAGCTGTGTGTAGGTAAGCTTCGCATATTGAAGGAGAACTGGGTGGAACTGTTACTTGCTCGATTTGGTAGCTTCGTGAAGTTCCTGATGTATGTAATTATGCCCACGTTACACAGGAAATCCCTGAGATGTGACAGACTTGCACTAAAGGTGGCAGTGGTGTGCTTCAGGAGGGATATTGCTATTTGAATACAATCACGGTTCTGCCTCTGTCCGGCACAGAACAAGATGATAGTTGTTTAAAACCGAAATATTCCACGAGTAACCTGTTCTGTGTCGAGCATTTGTTCAAATGCTTCGCCTATTCTGCTTCGGGGATAAGGAGTATATAGGATCTCTGAAGTTTAGAAAAGAGCAATTTGGTGGTTCATACTGAGGCTGAGGATGACAGCTGTGTTGGACTCCGCTGTCAACGCTGCATTTCTGAGAATCATATGATTGTTAGCCATTGCTGCAAATCACTAAAGAAAACTGTGCAAGTAATATTGGGATGAAATTCGTGAGCACGTTAGCCTTTGCTTCTTCACCAGCTTTCGCTGTTTGCATTTGACATTTAATGACAATCAACTAATGAAGCTAAAGCTTGACGTGACGCTGTCACGAGCGACACTGGGTCCGCAGTTACTGCAACCCCTCTCAACGTGGGATACGAAGTGTAGTTATTCGGCGCCTTCTACCCTTCCGACGGCTGTGATTGCTCTGATACTGTTATGCGTTCGCTGCAGTTAATGGTAGCAGTAGTCAAAGAAATGCCATACCGCTATCAAAAATTTTTTCTCAGGAAGATGATTCTAATTATTTTCTCTTACGAATGGAGCTCTTTGATTTTTCTGATCACCGTCGGCAAACCGTTGCCTACAGAAACTGTGTCATCGTTTTACGTTTTTTTTTGCTTCATGCATTCTGAGTTTTTTCAGGCATCCTTCCGAGTGTGCATACAAATACGGCGATGGTAGATGTGATGAGGAATGCGCAGGATTAGAGTGTGGATATGATGGCGGTGACTGCGAAGTGCTGCATTGTCTTCATTGTATCACAGCGACTTCAATATAAGCCTCTGGAAAACACTTATAAATTTCCCTCATTTCAGGGGAAGAACGCGACGTCATACAGCAGCGATGCTAACATGATTGGTGTTGCAGTAGGAGTACCACCGGACATTGCCGTGAAGAACTTACGCCAGCTGCAAGCGGAACTGGCACAGGTAGGTATTCGCTCTGTTGAGTTTAAAGAGTGCAAAGGGTCACAGTTATTAAATTACCAGTTACTTCAGCGTCTTTACACCCACGTGAGCTTGGCTGAAGACAGGGATGGCATTATGGTGTTCGAGTGGGCTACAGATTCTGGGCAAGGGAACCGCATAACAGTTGTGGATGAGCAGGTTGTAGCAAGGTAAAATGCCTTTCGGATCCTCCACGATCACTTTCTGCCAACTTTCCTGCTTCCAGGAGTCATAAATTCTAGAACTTCGTAATTACTTTTCTCCCCTGCTCTTGCCAGCCCCTCCAAAAAAAACGTATTCTCCATTCACTTCTACTTCAATTATCTGACCAAAAGCAACTAAAAACTGTCTTCTATGTTACCTGTTCACTGTAGCGGTTGAAGACGAACTTTACACTCACCTCCGTGGATCCTAGTCCTTGCCTTGTGCGAGGTGAATGGGTCCGCAGCAGCAGCACCGTGCCCTTTATTCGGTCAGAAGTACATGTGGACGGGACCGGCTAGTAATACCTAGACGCCGCCTTCATACTCCACCCGCGCTCCTGCACGGCTACCCACATGCCTGACCACAGCCAAATGCTATAATTTCTGCGCTCTCTCATTTCCGGTTGTACCCTGCCACTGAGTGCGTGTTTCGGTGCAGGATCTTGGTGTCAACGTAATACAACGTGGTCGAAGTATGGTGGCAGCCGGGTATTGCTACCGTCCAGCTCCATTCTTGTGAACTTACGAGCAGAGAAAGTGGCAGGCTTGCAGCTGCAGACGCATTCGCCTTACACATGGAAAGGAGCTATCTAGGAGGTGAGCCCAAGTTTGTCCCTAAAGCGCAGTTCTGCCACCTATTTCGGCTCTCGTTTCTTCAACCTACTTTTCGTTTTGCTTTTTTTCATGAAAGAAATGCTGTCTCCACTTTCCATTGTCTTCCTAACGCATTCTTACCTTTTTTCCTTTGCAAATACTTTTCGTAATTACAATGCAACCTGAGTTGGTTTCGCATACAGCCAATTTAAATACGATTATGCAGTGAAGTGGATACGAATGTGAATGGCACAATGGTTTTCTTCGACGTTGACACCTCAGCTTGTCGTATTCGGCGTCGTAAGGGTTACGCACAGCCACGTTGCTTCACCGACCTTCGCGCTGCAGCCACTTACCTGACTCTAGAGCTGGCACGTAGCGGACCTTTGGGCGGAGAAACCTTACCAATTCGCGACATTTCTTGGAAAAAGAGACAGGTAAGTACTCTGCCTTTTATATACTGACCAGGAAAGGATGGTTGGTCGAAGTGGCCATTCGAAATGAGATGTATACTGCCCGATGGGCCCTTGGACGCTGATTACAAATCTGCCCTCCATATCTGCTAAACGATTCCCTGGACAAAGTTATGCAGGAACCAGGTCACACCCATTTCCAGCATGTATATTAGGTACACCAAAACGCCCAAATTCGCTGAAATCTGAAATTAGAGGTGTTCTGGTGCCCTGGAAATCAACACTGCAGTCATTTTTTCGTGAAAATATCTTGTTCGCCTTCTGGAGGGGCAGGGTGTGCAGGAACCGGCAACGTCCTTGGCAAGCGTTTTTACGCCGAACGAGTGTGATATTCGTGTTCTGGGGCTCAAATTAGCCCTAGAGACAAGTTTTCAACCAAATTTGAGATTTCGACCTATTTTCGATACAGTGGGGTAACCATGGGCAACAAATTCCTTAAAGACACATGGTACGTTCAGTCACATTGAGGGAGTATGAACCTATCAGCTCCCAGCTTCGATGTGTGATTCTTGGCCTCCCCTCCGCCCACAACTGTCAACAGGCGTCAAGTAGTACCCGCGGACCCTGGGGAAGTTCTAATCCTTGCTACACCGCCCTCACGTTTCATGCCTAACAACCCATCCGTCGGTCGCGGTCACGTGCAGGCCTCCTTGGCGTTTTTGCAGTCTGTAATGCGCTTTGGAATTTACAAAGCACGAACGCAATTTTCTTTACGCGGATAACTTTTTAGGCTGTATGCAAAGTAAGAACCGAAGATGATGACAAGGGCTAGAACTCAAGAGCAACTGTGATGCTTCTGCAATATCCCTCAGAGGCCGCGCATTCCCACAGAACATGACAATAAAACATGACAATACAAGCAAAACGCAATTTCCTAACATTTGAGGTATTGCTCATGCTTCAAAGTCCGAATAGAAGGTGATGAAGATGACAAAGGCTAGAAATGAAGAACAACAACGATGCCTAAAATAAAACAAAATTGAAAAGACTGAGGAAACGCAATGAATCAAAAGCGTGTGCATTTCTGCGATCCGGCTCGAATCCGGCTCTAATGCTATAGAAATACTTCAAACTAACGAGTGGGACGCTTAGGCCGTTTTTATTTTAATGTTTTGTGGGAATGCGCCGCCTCGAGGGCTGTTGCAGAAGCAGCACAGTTGCTCTTGAGTTCTAGCCCTCGTCATCATCTTCAGTTCTTATTTTGCAGAACCTAAAATGTTATCCGCATAAAGAAATTGCGTTGTACTTGTATTCCAAAGCGCAATTACAGGACTTGGCAAAAAGCCAAGAGAGGCTGCTGCTGGGGCCCAACGCAGACCGCCTCGCTGCGAAACGACTGTTAGGAAAACGTGAGTTTGCAAAAACGGGCGGCGTAGCAAAGGAATTTACGACTTTCCCACGGTCCCGTACTCTGACCCCGTGCAGTTTTGGGCGGAGGGACCACGACACATCGACAGCTGGGGCTGATAGTCTCATACACCCTCAATGTGTTTGAGCGTACCATGTGTGTCTTTAAGGTCGCTGACACTATCGCCGATCAAACTCTCTGTGAGCAACGGAGCTTTTCCGCTGAATTTCAATCCTTGCTGGTTACTGACGGTCCTGATCACAATCACGACATCCATTTTTGGTTCCATGTCATTTGGAATCAGTTCGGCGAGACAACACAACGCAACGAATAATGCCGCTGAACCAACAATCCAGGAGTGTCCTTTAGGAGTGTGTGCCAGAATGGGCTCTATTCCATCAGAAATGAATTTTTCGGTAGGATCAGGTCTCCTAGCCCCGCAAAAGTTCTTTTAGGATGTACAGGGAGCATTTTTGAAAAAATGCAAAACGACAAATTAAGGAAGGATCCAAACCCTTTTGACCTTGCACACTTAGGGCCACTCGCTTCTCCACTACACCATTGAGGCACGTCTGCAATGAGCTCACCCATCATTTAGATACTTGCTGAGCATTGGTGGTCTCAAGCAGTGGTCTGCTCAACAAGCCTCCATAATTCTGCTCGGAGAATCGTTTAGCAGATTTGGAGGGCAGATTTGAAATCAGTGTCCAAAGACGCATCAGCCGGTATACATCTCATTTCAAATGGCCACTTCGACCAACCATCCTTTCCTGGTGAGATAGGTAATTGGAGATCTTTACAATATGTACTGCTAGTTTTCAGATGGAGGAGTTTCTTGTTCTAAATCCGCCAGTTGTTTTCATCATAGTGTGCGTCATAGTGCTGACTGTAATATTCACATTATGTACTGGAATAATTGTAGCAATAGTACGAGCAAGAAGACGAAGACAGACTACTGTATTTGCTCCATGTTGGAAAGTTCCCAGTAAGGTTTTTTTGCAAAGCACAATTAAAAGTTTCCGCACTCTTTTTGTCTTCAAAGTCGACTATACCATCGCACAATGCTAACTATCCTAATCCTTCTCGAAGTCTGCAGAGCGACGGCCTTTAACTGCTTTCCCAATCAGGCAGTCCCCTCGAGATTGTCGTCTTTCACACTTTTCATAACCAGTGCATATCTGACTACTTGGTAGCTTTCAGATAATTGTCAAAACAAATCCAGAAAGCGTTATGAAAGGACAAGGAACATGACATTCCATTGATCAGTCGCGTATTTGGTTGCGCCACGCATTCGAATTCCGCTCCGAGCTACAGTGCTAAATGAATGCATTGCTTGGCCTTGACAGTTGTCAGAGAGCGCCGATGTAGGCAGTAGTGATTGTGTAGTGAGGAACGGTCGTCTATTTGTGGGCGGTGTGCGTGTGGGTCGGTATATTGTAGATTGATAGAGCCCTTATGGGGCCTATCAATCTACAATCACGCCTTCTCGGAAAAGGCGCAACGCAGCGCGTGCTCAGGATCGCGGATTTTCGTCCTGCCAGGCGTATCAATCCCACTCGCTTTAGGGATTTATCGTGCCAACTGGTTGTAGTCTTAAGTTCATTTTGCACGACTACGTTTATACTTTGCGATCTTCTGGCTCTGATTGCAAACTAGAACAGCCCGGTGGAAGGGCTTGACTGGTTCGAGTGAGATTCGATTACCAACCATTCAGCGTGGTCAACGCATCTCCTCCCATCAAATGTGTCCCTTTGAAGAATTGCTCAACGGTCAACCAAGAGT